GTTCGTACATCGGATAGCAAATTTGAATTCGTTCACACAAGCAGGCAGCTTGACCATGTCGTCAACCTCCAACTGCCCTAGAAATTGGTCACTTAATTTAATTCCAAAGTGTTTTGCGTTAACTGCTCTCATCTACTACTTTCCCTATGTTGACTTAACACACTGTCATTTATTGACTGTTATCTAAACTGAAGTCTAGTCCTTGCTGATAATTCATTAATTCTGTGAAAATTCTTACCGTTCTATGTCTCCTCTTTCGGTTGTTTAAATGATGCGGACACGCCCAGCAGATAAGCAGGATTTTGAATTAAGCTTACTCCATGAATGGCAGTTGGCATAGAATAAAGTTCAGTGTGTCCTTGGCATGGCAAAACGACCAATGGAATGTTGGCAGAAACAAACAACAAACAAACACGTCTTGTTCTTATTATAGCTGAACTGAATTACAAAGACGACACTTCACTATAATATATACTGCTTTACAGACATCATTCAATAGTGTTCGCGTATATCAGTGGCATGATTAATGGAACGCATCAGATTATCAATTGCCCGTAGACCTTGCTCGATTTGGCAAAATGCGTGCACTTTAATGGATCCAAAATAATCTTCGTTTGCATGGCTTTCCTTGTGAATGCAATTGACTCTGAGGTTCCACCTGCAAAACCTCAATGACACTGACAAAATCAGTTCCCAATCTGCGATCACATTGCTTTCGCTTAAGCGTTCACATAAAGTCGACAATCGATTGTACCAAATTCGCGCGTACTATTGTGCACTTAATGTTTATTTATGGATGTATATCTTACTCTTATTATCGCGCGAAAACATAACGTTATTTAAATAATCATTCCTATTATTTAACGCGCTCTAATGCTTCACATATATGTTGTCTCCGCCGATATGCCATAGCCGCTACCTCCTATTGCCACCGTACCAATTTTAGAGAAGCGTGGGTTCTTCTTGTACTCTAGTGAGCTCCAAATATGACTTTTACTGCTTAAAGTGCAGCAGCAAATATAGCGTAGAGCTATCGTCCGTTGCATGTCGGTTACAGAGCAAGAACATGGAAGGATAAAGAAACCGAAAATGAATTTCATTGTACTTACAAGGGCATCTGTACAGCTTGTTTGTCTGTTTGATATCACCCTCACTGAGCTTCTCCCTCTGTCCAATTTTGGCGTTCGGATCCTTAGGCCTTACCCGTTCAATCCATTCACCATTTCGATAGGTCCACTGGGAGGAGTGCATAATCGAATCGTAGTCATATGGCTCCTCTAGCGAGTCCACTTGCCACGACATTTTCTGCACGTTTTTATCAGACGGCAAGAGAATGTCAACATATCCTAAATAGCAAGAGTAAGGGAAATGGAATGTTATCAGTTTGCCTATATGCTACTAGATTCGATAAATCCACGTTTGAAATTTGCGCAAATATTTGCGTATTAAAAGTAGGAATTTATAATCGGAAACTGAAATTGATTTCAGTGTACTTCATGAAGCTTTGGCAGGTGATATAGTTCAGTACCAATCGGCATGTAAAATGCAGACCCACAGAAACGGTTCTTATATGCCTATTTATGTTTAAAGGCAAAAGCAACTCTAGAAATCAATTTGTAACTTCACCGCCTATTCCTTTACCAAATATACCTACTGGAATTTCGGTTATACTTATTGGGCTGCCTGCCTGCCTATTCGATCGGTGTTCGCACATTTCTGAGTGAATATATACCCGACCAGC